GGATCAAGACCAAGATCCAATCCAAAACTTAGGTGGACCTATGACAAGAGGCAGACTCAAAAAAATACAAGAGGCATTGCAATACAAAGTGACCAATTTGCTAAAGGCCCAACTATTAAAAGATCCAAACATGGAGGAGTCTAGACCTATCACATACATAGAATGTTTGGAGAGCTAGGAGGCCCAACTAAAAGATTTAGTTTTTATTATTATTATTATTATTATTATTATTATTTTATTTGCTACAATGGGGATTTGAACTCAAGACCCAAAACTTATAATGCCTTCACTGAACCATCTGAGCAACTTAACTTTGCTTGGGATATTAGGATTTTAATTTATCTTTATTTCCTACAATGAGACAAACTCATAAACTTAAGTTGTATTAAACATTTGGAAATTCAGAATGAACGTACATAATATTCAGATTACTTTGTGAGTTGTTGCTTTGCTAGGGTTCTTCCTTGCATCACTTGATCTTATCAAGAATTATTCGATTTTTGTGGCGATCCTTCTTGGCTTATCAAATATTCTTATTTGTGGCGCCTACGGTATCTTTTATTTTTTATGTTTTCTATTTCCAATCAAATTAATTCTTAAAACCTAACCCTAAATTGTTTCCCTTCTATTCGAGTGTCATCACATCACTTTTTAAGAGATCATATATCTAAAGGAAATTGTCAAATTGAGTATATAGACACAAAACATCAGTTAGCAGATATATTTACCAAACCTCTTCCAAAGGATAAATTCTATGAACTTAGGAGAGACTTAGGAATATTAGAAATAGTTTAAACTTTGTTTAACTGACCAATCTTTGCATTTTGTACTGGAATAATCAATTATATAGGGCAATAATCGATTGTCCTGTGTCTAATACATGATAAATTGTTAATCTCTCTGGAATAATCGATTATCTTGGGTAATAATCGATTATTGAAGCTTAAATGAGTGGTTTATGAAAATCTTTATGTAATAATCGATTATTGGGGGTAATAATTGATTATCTATACCAAAACTGACCCAAATGAGTAATTTTCCTCTGGAATAATCGATTATCTAGCCAGATAATTGATTATCCCTGAATTTGAAGAAATAATCAATTATCAGAGGGCGATAATCAATTATCCTGCGACGTTGGAGGTAAACTAGTCGTTTGTAACGACTATTTTTACTTTAATTCTCCTCAAACTAGCCGTTTATGACTGTTGAGATGATTTTCTATATATAGGAGAGCTCAAATTCACATCCACACACTTCCAAAACTTGAATCAAAGCATTCTTCACACATTCAAGCTCTCTTGTCTCTTCAGAGCCTTCTTCTCTTCAAAACCTTCTCATCTTCCTCTCTTTTCATTCTAAATGGCTTCATCTTCCTGTAGAAAGATTCCAACAAGGAGAAGATCCGCTCCTACTTCTCATCCCCGCCCTAATTCCATTGAAGGGTAGATATCTGATGAAGAGGGAAGACATGAATTCCTAAATTTCTGGAAAGAAAGGGGTATTATTACTCCTAAATTTATTGTTGGAGATTAATTCATAAATAGGGGATTCAACTTTCCCAATCTACTTGAGAAACAAGGTGTTCTGCGCAATCCTGCCATGGAAATTGGCCGCCAACTTTTGGGCGGGCCTTTGAAGAAAGAAGAACGCCTGTTGCTGCATCTTCTTGTATGGATTTTGTGTTCTCGGGCAATCAACCATGCACAATGTTCTTCTGCTGACCTTCGCATTATCCATGCCATCATGAATAATGAGCCCATTGATTGGCCAAGTTTAGTCACATTAACAATGCTCAAGGCGAAACGTCACTCAACCTTCAAGATTCCTTACGCTCTCCTCATTTCCAGGATTCTTGAATACAAAGGTGTAAATGTTGAAGGGGAACAACGGGCCTGGACACTTAATTCAAATAAAATGCTGGACAACACGCTCACTCAACTGCAAATGGTGAACGTAAACGAAATTTATGTTCATAAAGATGATGCTCCTCACATGGCTAATGTGGCTCAAGATTCTGATGATGAGGACATGCCTGCTACTAATATGCCTGCTGATAATGTTCATATTGTTGGAATGTCATCTAGTGCTCACCCTACATCCCGCCCTTCCATAGAAGATATGTTGTTCGACATGAATAAGAGAATGCAGGAATTCTTCTCTATATCTCAAGAACGACATCAAGAAATTATTAGATGCATTTCGGATGTAGACGACCGAGTGTGTAATTTAGAAGATAGATTTGACACCCAGTTTAATAGTGATGAGAGTGAAGAGTTCTAATGTCTTCAACATATTTCTTGTTTGTACTTCATTTGCTTTAATGAATAAAACTTTATTTTTGCATTGATTGAGGGGGAATATTTTTCTATCTTATGCACTTATTGAGGGGGAACTTTCATTTTTTATTATAATCAAAATAAGGGGAGAAATTATTTAAAGCCTCTTATGTTTAATAATTTTAAATGATGTATGGTATATTTAATAGTTTTGTTAGCTATGACAGATAAAACAGGTTATTACAAAGGGTTTTAAAGAAAATTTTGACCATCATAAAAAAGGAGGAGATTGTTAAACATACAAGGATATGAAGCTTGAAGATTCTGATGATGATTCAAAGACAAATGACTTAGAGATTTGAAGACTTGTAATCATGTGTATTTACATGTAATAACTCTATTTTATGTTTTTGAGTCTGTAAAATTAGAGTCCAAGATAGCCAGCACATAGTCCATCCTCTAAAACCTCTAAAATTTCATTTTTATCAAAAACACACTGTGATAACCGATTATCACTCAAGATAATCGATTATCCTGCACTGAAAATAATTTTTCTGAAAAACTCTTTGTGATAATCGATTATCACTTAGGATAATCGATTATCCCAGCCAAATAATCGATTATTCACCCAGATAATCGATGAGTTTTGAAATTCAAATCTGGACCAATTTACGAAAACCCTATTCCCAATTCTTATGTTTTCGAAAATCATCATTTCCCAGACGCTATTCTCTCTACTTAAGGTTCTTTAAGGCTCTCTGCAAATTAACAAAAATTTTTCAAACAAAAGTTAAGAGCTGTGACTGCGAGAACTTTCTGTAGGGAAGAAAAATGGGCTTTTGAAAACCTAGTGTGAGCTAGAAGCGATAATAATCACTGAGTGAGTTTCTTGGTGGATTGTGTGTTGTGTCGTCTTTAGGAAAAACTATTGTTCATCCTTTGTGGATTTAAAGGAGGTGTTCATCTCTTATGTGACTCAAGAGAGATGTTTTCTATTCCTTATCTTTTCAATTTGTAATCTGTTGTAAACTGTTATTACAGTGATAACGTTAATCCTCTTTTTTAGTGATTAGCAACTGGACGTAGGGTCTTTTGATCCGAACCAGTATAAATCAACTGTGTAATCTTCTTTCCCTTATCTATTTACTTTACAAAGCATTTTAATCGGTAAAATTTGGGAAAAATTTTAAAACCCTAATTTTTGTTTAAGAAATCAATTCACCCCCCTTTTGGTTTTTGTCCCTAAACGCGAACATTCCGCTACGCGATTCTAACAGCAATTTCACTAGAGCTAATTCTAGAGGTCAATGACATCATTCTCCTTCATATCCTTGCAAAACAACATTGATAAGATCATATTTCCCTAGTTTTTTTAGGAAAGTTGTCCATTAATGGATATTTTAATGTGAAGCTATTTCTTAATTGATAATACCCGTGACAATGTTTGAACCAACTTGTGATTGTACATCTTGAGGGACGTGTTTTGTAATGACATATAGTTTGATCAGGTCAACCCATTATTCTCCAATGATTTTTTATACCAAATATACAAGATTACTCATTGATTGGTTTGGAGAAGTGTGTGATGATCCTAGGTTTAAATTGATGAGGTTGCAACAGAAGAAATTTGTGTTTAAGTATCACGAGGACTTTGATTCATTCGTGACCCAGACTGAATCTCAATGAGGATTACATGTTGAGTTGTTTTTTAGGAATTGAAAAAAAGAAATCCAAATATTGGTCGGGATGTTTCATGCTACAACGATGCGAAAACCCTTTAGTGGATGACTTATTGGTATGTAGTGATGTCATTTTTCCTCACTACTGCTCCAACAACTTTTCAAGAATTGTAAATGAGATATTTTAGAAGTTTTTAATACGATTCTTATAGGTGTTTTAGTCGATATCCTAGTATACAATAAGAGCTTGAAGGAGCACTTAAAGCATCTCAAATAGGTGCTACTCACTCTTTGAAGCAATTTTTTGTTTGCTAGAAGAAGCGAGTCCTACTTTACTGTCAATAAAGTGAAACATCTTGATCACTTCATCTCTAGTGCACTGGTATCTACTAACCCAAGTAATATGAAGTGATGATTTATTGACCTCTCCTACATATTATTAGACAATTGATAGGGAATTTATGACTTGTGGAATATTAAAGGTGGTTTATTAAGGGGTATGGAATAGTTGTTAAATCCTTAACTGACATGCTTAAAAAAAAAAAAAATTTAGTTCATCTAAACACAGGAGACTAAGTTATGACGGACTGTATCTTAATAAAAATATTTTTTACAGATTTGGTGAAACATACCAGAACGGATCAAGTCCGTTCTGTCATACTAGAGACAAATATGCAATAAGCAATTGTAGCAGATGAAATTAGAAAGCAGATACGTACAAACAAGTAATAGTGGGGTTTGAATGTTTCAAAAGTTTTTTTAAGAAAAATCTGCAGTTTCTAGAAATCAGGTAAAGAAAAATGAAAGTTATAAACGCTTGCACCTGAAACTCAAACCTCAGGTCATGGCACATAATCTCATAGAACATAATTACAAGTAATTCGTAACTAAAGCAGATGTGGTTTCCTTTTTCTCCCTCCCATTTCCATACTCACCAAGACTACATGAGAAATCACCAATTCTTCACAGATTAATAATACTAACTTCAAATTCAGAAAAAAAAATGAATAGAAAATATAAAAAATATCTTCTTGTGAAGAGATCATTCACTAAAATCAAAGCTTCCACTGTGAGAGCTGCTGCCATTACGACTATGCAAGGAGAGGCCTCTCATATGGCCAGACAAATTAGTTCCATCCTTGTTTTCCTGAAAAAACTTTTCTCTTTCAACATGCTTTGCAGGTGGTGGTGGAATTGCCACATGATGGGGACCATCCCCGTTCTGCTTCGGCCGCAGAGGTGGGATCACAACAGGTGGAAACCGAGTATCAGCTTCTCGAGATGAAGGGATCACAACAGGTGGAGATCGAGGTTCAGCATCACGAGATGGTGGCTCTATTGTTAGTGGTCGTATTAGTGGGCGATTGAGTCTCTCTCCAAGTAAACCCAGGGGAGGGATGTCAGTTTCAGTCTCCTCATCTTCAGGTCTTGCACAAGCCTTTCCCTTACGTAATCTGCAAGAAATTAGCCATACAGAGATTAAAGAATTTTGAAACCGCAGTATCATCCTTCATTACAAAAGACCACTAGATTGAACTCCAAAGACAGGGAAGGCACCTCCGGACTAACTGTTCAGGCTCCTCCTCCTCATCTGCTTCCTCATGGTAAAACCGAGTAGCCGTTATTGTAGCTCTGCCAGCAAGAAGGTCATCATGTCTTGCAAGAACTTTCTGAAGTTGCTCATTCAATTCAATTGCTCTAGAAACTATCCTTTCATCTCTGCAAAAGACCAGTTTAAGGGACAAATTAATCATATAATGCCAATAAATACCTGGGTTGTGCATGTGCAAATACATAAACATTAGGAAAATTACAAGGACAAAAATTATTGTGCTAATGAACGTTCAAATACTGGTTACAGACTAGAAATGTTTGATGGCTTGTTTGTTAAATAACTACAAATGTTTTTATCGTGAGTTATATGTATATCCGTTGTGGTTTCCAATATAAAGTTCATCTAAGGTTATGGCTCGTCTTCCTTGAATATGTGTAAGGTACAGTGGGTATGAGTATATTATTAAACAGATTAACAAAGTCTACACAACTTTCATTTTTGGGGTTCGCTAATTTGAATAGGATGAATGTCAAAGGAAACATCTTAGAGCTACAAGTAGCCTTACCGAGAAGCCATCACAAGATGCATAACCCTTTGCTTTTGAAAGGAGCATTGTTCTACAAGGTCAAGGGTGAATTCATCCCTTGCTCCCTACAAAAGAAAACATTTATAAAGCAAACGTTACAATGTAATTAATTCTAGATTCTAAAACTAACTCTCGGGTTCGGAGTCACCTGAGGATTTTGAGCATCAACAGCATCCAGGACCTCTTTTAGTACTTCTAATGCATTGCTAGCCTTTTGAATAATGCTACAAAAATACAAGTAGATGAAAATGTGATCTGAACAAATAGTTTCAGAAAGAATAAAATATAAATTAAGGAAAAAAATCCACCCAAAAGAAAATTTTAAAACTAACTCCCATTATTCATTTCATATGACCATAAATATTCGTATTTGACTGAATCTTCTTTACCCCAGTTTCCATCCTATAACTAAAGCAAATAATTCCTCTTGCCATAATAAATCATTTTAAACATTTATCTAGAAAAGGATTTCTAAAGATCCTGTCAATCAAGAAGTACAACTAAAACAGAAAAGCAGAAGTCACCTTGATTCAGGGACAGTCTGGGACTCAGCTTGCTGAGCAACTACTTCATGTCTAGGTGCGGCCTGCTCCCAGTTTGTCACATTAGTAGTCCTATTAGGTTGTGAACTAGGATGGTTTGATTGAGCCACTTGATCCCTTTGAGAAAACTGCACTCCGGCACTCTGTAAAAAGTATAAAACCAATTTCATGACTTTGGTTTTAGAATTGTTCAAAAAGCATACAAATTACAGTGACGAGTATTGGAAAAACAAATATATTCCCCAGCAATCATTTTTGTTTCTGCTAACAACTACTTGATTTTATGTACAAAAGGAGTAGAAAAGTGACAGCAGTCAATAATTTTGGTAACAAATAAAGAGAAGTTAATTAGCAATGCGTGACATTGTAAATGCTTACTACCCAGCATATTTCAGACCATAACTTGTGCTCTAGTATTTAATAATATCACCATCAGTCATGACCCTTTGATATGACCAAGAGTGCTTACCATCATGTCAAAAGCTTAAACTGCAAATAGAAGTGTAACTCTAGACCTTAAGTTTGACCAAGGTTCACGAGATAATTACAAACATGTTGAACCTAGGATTTGAACCAGTATTGGCTGAGACGAAACTCTTGAAATATAGCACTTTGAATCAGATGCAAACCAGTACTTATTGAAGCTATATTGAATATGGATCATAGCATTGAAATCTACTCAAACTTAAACATATACCCTCGCTACCTTTTACACATACCATACCCTCCCTCTAAGAAACAGTTTGCCTTAAAACCATGAAATAAGTAGTTACATATCAAACTTGAAATTTGAACCTGTAGGAGCTCTCATACCAAATGATATGATCAATGCTTACCACCATGCCAAAAGCTTAAGTTGTTAGCTGAGGTGCAACTCTTGACATGTAACACCCTGCATCAGATGCAGACTCTTACCTATTTATGCCATTGGACATGGGCCACTAGGTTGAACCTGATGTACAAACCCAACATGTACTCTTGAGACCCTTGGCATATCACCGTGGCACAAAGTTCCTTTCCCATTTAGTCATCACAATGCACTCTAACCTATATAAGCAACTACCATATAAGTATAACCTGCCCATCATTACCCTAAGTTATCAGTTAGCATCATATATCCAGTTTAAATATGAACACGAAAAATACTCTTCCAATAATCAAGTTAATTTTCAATTGCTACTAATTGAGTAGCTGCTAGTCTCATCTTATACTTTCAAAATCATAAAGTTCAAATTAACTTTTTTATTTTTTGCCCAGTCAACAGCCCTAGTTAACAGCCTAACCATAGCCTATTAATCAAAGGAATCCGATCAAACCATAAGAATGTCCTAGGGTTTTGTACGCATAGTTGTACCTACCACCAACTCATAATATGCATTATAATACTGTGGAAACTTTCCAGATGCACCACCAAGGGATGTTTGTGTGGCATCTAATAGGAGAAATATCCTCTCTCTCACAGGCAAGTCAGACTGCAACCGAAGAGCAATAGAGAATAAGACAGTGAGATTAAGAAAAAATGACAATGCAAGATAACAGAAGTCTGTGGAGAAAACTAACCTTTTTTTTCACAATTTTTACTAGAACAGGAATAATTCCATTATCAATCACCTGCTCATGAATATGCTCTCCAATATTGTTCATCAACATTTCCAACAACTAGAAAAGCAAAATAGATCACAGATAACTTAGTAGAACACTACAGAACAAGAAAGCAAGAAATGAAAACATTTAAAAATAAACAAGCTTCTCTTTATACAAGTTTTTCAGTATAGGTAAAACTTTTAAAAATTCACAGAAAAAATTATAAGTTACTAAATTCATAATAAAGTCACTATACTCACCATGACAGCATAAAGTTGAGCATTGGGTTGTTTGCTTCCTAGTCTCTTTTTAATAGCTTTAACAACATCTCGAGCTTGCCTGCATATTCAAAAGATATGATAGTTAACAACAGTAACAATGTATGGATTATCCTGACAATCCAACATATTCATCTATGCTCATAATCAATTGAAGAAATCCAAAGCAAGATAGTAGTGAACAAAAACCATGAACATAATTTGAATTGCAAATAAAGATCTTGTCTGGATTTGATCATTTTATTAAGACTTAATTGTTTCCTTTTTTCAAAGGCTCTCCTCATAAGGGTTCAATCATAAGATACTTTGAACACAAGATAAGCTAATCTAACTGCACACTAATGACGTTAGGCATAAGAGATCAGTCATTGGACAACTAATGGAAGGGTTACAAGTTTTCCTTTAGAGGGAAAAAAATCAAATACAAAAAGGTGCATCTAGAATGAAAAATAACATATTTTCCCAGGAACCCGCCAATCAATTTTGGCAAGACCAAGAAAAATAATATTCATAAGGATTATCTTCCAAAAATAAACACACAGTTAGCTACTCAGCAAGCTCAAGTGAAGTGACCATGGTAGAGATCAGAGATCATAGGTTTGTTTCCTATGCAAAAAAGGAAAAAACACATACACACACATTTACAAAGTTCGTTAGATAAGAGAGTTACATATTAACAAATTTAAATAAGTTTAGTTTCATGCGAAACAATAATACCAATTGGCACCACCTAATCATTTCCCGGTGATTAAGGACATTGTTCAATCAGAAAGAAGCAACATCTAACAAGAATATAAAAGCATTGTGGGTACCTTTTATCATGAGCAACTAACTCACAGATTTCAATATTTTTTGTCCAATCAGTTTCAGCCAGTTTCTCGCTTGTTGCACCATTGACTAGCTCGGCCGCCATCTTTTTCTAGATTTTGATCTAACAATTAAATAGCATATAAAACGTTAAAGATATTTCAGAAGCAGAAGTAAATAGGCAACAAAGAGTTAATAAGTAAGTTTGGCAGTTTACCAGCTGTTGCTAGAGAGAAACAAACAAAGCCTTATGATAGATTTTCCCAGAAAAGGATACCGTAAAATACAGATTTGAGACATACAATTACAAATGTAAAGACAAAAAAAGATAGCTTAAAATGATAAAAACCAACAATTGAAGACAAATTGGAGAACCAACATTTTTCCCTATGAATAACATGACGGGAGAACAAGAAAAACTATAGTCAAAACCATTAAGAAGCATTTAGAGGCCAATGATTTGTCGATAGACATAATTTACAACAGAACATTATAGCGCCATTTGATCTCATGCAGTGGAGAAAAAAGCTTGGTTTGTTGTTGTCGCTGTATGAATAGCATGATAGAATGTAGAGTATCTCTCAAATCTTTGAGAAGCCAGTAATACACATAGTTTTAGTTAAAAGCTAGTTTTAGACAAGTGCAAAGCAAAACTTTGACATCCATATCAATCAGACTGTTAGCCATCATATATCTGCAGGGAATGGATGGTGATTGAAAAATCATATACAAAAAACTGCTATCTCCACACTCATAATTTGTAACAATATCAAATCACCTTCAAGAAAATTGACCTCAGTCCAAAGTGAAAAATGTCATCATGTCAGAATAGCAATCGAAGTCTGAAGAGTATGTTATGAACTACCTGCAAAAAAATCAGAAGGCCGAAAATTCAGAATATATAACTCAATTTTAGTATCATTCAAAAAAAATGCATTGAAGAAAATAAGCCAAAACTACAATCTGTATGACCCTTATTAACCCAATAAAGAAAAAAAAAACAAGGTTATACCCCAGAAGGGGCAAAAAAACAGAAAATGACGAAATGAGACAGTGAACTATGAAATTAAAATTACTGCACATTGCTCCCATCTTTCTTTCCTCTTAAGCAAGCATAAAAGTAATGGGTACCATAATTAAGCTCAAGAAACAATAACTGCTTCAACATCTAACTGAATCACAACACGATTTCAATTGGTCTCAGATCTGAATTTAGGCACACCAACAGAACCCACAACTCCAATAAACATAATTTAAACTCAAGAAGAGTGAAAACCTTCGAAAAATGAAAACTTTGGGAAGTTGATCTTATGGGGTGTGAGAGTTAGAACCTGTAAAGACAGATACAACGATAGAGACGACGAGGAAGAAGGCGAGAAAACACTGATAGGCCCTAAAGAGCTTCAGCATTTTATTTCACGGAAGATCAAGAGCCAATGCTCTTGCTTTTTCTCTTTTTCTTAACTTAAACCTTTTTTGGAATATGATGATGGTGAAATTCGCAAGTGGGGCACTGTATTTCAAGGTTGTGGACAATTTGCTGTAGCTTTCAGAGAATGTATATAAGAAGGGGTTTGCGTATTACGTTGTTGCTATTGTTATTAGAGAGGAATTAAATTAAATATATAAAAATTCAGATTATTATCAATTATTAAGGGAATTGAAATGGTTAGAAAAAGAATCTAAAGTTGGGAACTTTAATGTATTTTTATATACTCCATACCTAGTGAAGTATTCATAGAGATCAAATTGGGAACTTCATGTATGAAATATAAACTCAGGATTATTCGGTGTGTCACATTAGTTTTAGGTATGTCTACCATTTTCTTATATTAAATAATTTTAAAATTTTCAATATTCGATTTTTATGTAATATTTTTTCATAAAATATTGATAAAGTTTATAGATTGATATAACTTTATGTTTGCATCCACTCACTCCCTCAATGATATTTCATTGTTATCATTTTCTTTCTCTATTTTAATGAGTTTTTTTATGAATAAAAGTTAATATTCAAGTGAGAGGAAATTTCTTTTTGTTGATAAATTAAACAACTTTTTTATTTAACTATGTTATTAGTATAGAACTATCAACTTTATCAATAATTGATTTTTATTGAGAATTTTATTTATTATTTTCAAAATTGAATTAATGATGGGACTAGTTTTTATTATTTATGCAATAATAACTCTCAAAGTTTAATTTTTTTTTCATTAGATTATTTATTTTGTTGATAAAAACTATTTAAAAATTAAAATAAATATTTTACTATTAATTTAAAAATTAATTAAAATTATTTATACAAACAATTTTTTTTAATTTTAAGCAACATTTTTTAATTTTAATCGATAATATATAAATAGATAATGATTTTGCTATTTATTTGTTTCTTCTTCTTTTTTTCTATGAAAAAAAGTAAATGTTTGATTTCCATAATATTTCAATGGTGGAATTAGTTGATTAAAAGATTTAAAAGCTGGAGTTCTATAATTGAGCGAGAATATTCAAAATTCGAGCTCCTTTTTTATTTTTTATTTTTTTTATTTCTTTTGATGTTATTTTTTTGGGCATATAATTAATTAATATGTATGTTACATAATTATTATAAAGAATTTTTATAATTCTTTTTATTTTTTTTATTGATTTGGCTCATAAAAAAATAAAAAATAAATATTGTTATTCTTTTAATTTTTAATTTCATTATTTCAACCTTTGTGAGATTGATTATACAAAAAAAATTTGTTTGAGGAAAGAATGCATGAAAGGGACAAAAGTCCACCACCAAACATCATTAAGCTTCGCTGGTCTCGGATTCTGGTCCTTCTTCTTCCAGGTGTCACTCCTTTCCAACCTCACCCAACCAAATAAATAAATAACTTCATTTCTTATCCTTAATAAAAAATAATTTAAACTCTTTTTCATTATATATTATACTTGTAATGTTGTACATATAAATATTAAAATATATTATTTAGAAAACAATAAAATATAATTTTTTATTACACGCTAAGGAAAAGGATCATTTATGACAAAAAGTTTGAAAAAACTAATATCATGCTCAAAAAATAAATAATCAATAATGTAAAAATATTATACAAAAACTTGTTGTTATTTAATTAAAAATATAGAAATTTTATTCAAGATATTTAATTAATTATTTTAAAAAAATATTTATATCTTATAAACAATTACATTGGAGTTGATTTTCATAATTATCAGAATTTTTTAAAATTTAACAATCTTGACACGCTTTAAAAAAAAGAAATAAGTAAATAAAAAATTATCTCATAATTATTTGTCTAAATATTCTTAACAGAAATTGTCTCTCGGTTTTTATTTTATAGATTTTATTTTTATTTTCTTTTTAATGGTTCAAAAATAAATAAATAAATTATTTTGTTATTATTATCCCTTTATATGTTTAAAGTTTTGAAAATAAAAAAAAATTGTTTAAATATTCTTAATATCCAAAATTTTAAAAATATTAAACTTTTATTTTTATTTTTATTTTTATTTTTTAATCTTTTATTACAAAATATTGAAAATCAACGTGCATAAAAAATATTATTTTTTTTATAAATGTGAATTTGTTTTTTTATTGTGATTAGGATATTTTATGACTTATCAAACCTATTTAATAAAAAATAATAAAAAATAATTCATATTTATTGTTATAAATAATTTATAGTTTTTTTTATTTCTTTCTATTATATAATTTTTTTAATAGATAATATTTTTTATATGTATCAAAATAAATGGGTAAAATTTTTTAATTATTTTTTATGTTATAATATAATATTAAATTAATATTTAATTATAATAATTAAATTATTTTTAAGTTTCAAAAGGTGAAATATAAATAAAAATATGAGTGCTATAAAAACTAAGCAAAACTTGTAAAAGTTTAATATCAAGTTAATTAGAAGGGTCGTGGTATAACTAAGTCTTATTTAAAGTGAAAGTGTATTATTTATAAACATCTTACATTGAAAATGCTATAATTAACCACAATTATGAAAATAATTCGTGCTATTTTCTATTTGAGTAAATAGTTTGGATATTATTTGTGTAAAAAGTTTTTATCCTAATTTGGAATTTAACATGATTAATCGATGAAATTAGTTTTAGAGAAATTTGTCAAGTATTTTAGAGTTTACTCCCTTTATTAGTAGATGTTTTAAAATTTATTTTTATTCTAATTAATATAAAGTTTAATTTTAATATGTTATGTAATAACCCTAATTAATATATATATATATATATATAAATTATTTAAATAAACAAAAAAATAATTTAAAATAAAAGGTTTTTCTGCATTTAGAAATATATACATGTATATTATCACACAAAAGTAAAATAAAGTAAAAATATATCATATACTTAGCTATAGATCTACTCCTATGTAATAAACTAGTAATTCGATTTAATGATGTAAAATTTAAATATAATATAAAACATCACAATTCAAATTCAAGTTTTCATATATCAATCACATATAAATCACGTCACATTCATACAAGTTCACATTCACATTATATAGACACTAGGCAACGTGAGAAGATTAGATATTTAATTATATATTAAAGATATGTATCTATCATACAATCAAATTCGTTAATGGTTAACACAAGGGTATTTAGTTTGGTATATACATTTATGTGATCAAAATCATTTTCTAAATGACTTTTTAAGACACACTAATACAAGAAGAGTATTTTATGACGACTTAATATGATGGTTCTAATTCACCCATCATAATAAATTTGACGAAGATAACTTTGTAATTAAAACTTATTTTTTATGACTTTCTATGTTGGTTCAAAATTGAACTGTAATAGTAAGTAGGTTCTATGTCAGTTCAAAATTGAACCATCATAATAAATAGGTTCTATGTCGGTTCAATTTTGAATCGTCATAGTAAGTACTTATTATGACGGTTCAACTTTAAACAGACATAAAAAGTAACTTTGTCAATTTTAAATATGAGACACTTTTTATGTCAATTAAAATTGAATCGTTATAGTAAAGTACTTACTATGATGATTCAAAATTGAATCGACATAGAAAATACTTATTATAATGGTTCGATCTGAACTGTCATAAAAA